TCTTTTTTCCCACATTCATTCGTGTCCATCACTCCTGTATGTGGGCTCTTTATGGTCCTGGCTTCTTCAACAACGGCAATTTCTGTCTGGTTAACTGTGGCTTTCACCTTTGATAGATATGTGGCCATTTGTTTCGAAAATCTGAAAACAAAGTATTGTTCAGGAACAACATCTCTCACAGTGATAGCGGTATTGAGTGTGCTTTGCTTTGTGAAAAACATTCCTTGGGGTTTTATAGTTGAACCACAGTACATAGTTAATAATATACCATGGGGTTGCGATATTAAAGCAAGCTATTTCTCTTCTGCCAGATGGGCAGCTTTTGACACGCTTAATTACACTTTAACACCAATTCTCGCATTCGTTATGATTTTGCTGTTCAATGCTATGACGGTCAGGTATATACTGGTGGTCAGTCGAGTCCGCAGTAGATTGCGGGGATATAGCAATGGGAACAACAATAGAGGTTTAAGAGACAGTGATCCAGAGATGAGGATCCGAAAAAAAACAATCGCGTTACTCTTTGCTGTTTCTACCAGTTTTATATTATTGTGGTTGACGTATGTTCTATTTTCTTTATATTGGAGGATTTCTAAAATATATTCCCACCCAAGCCCGAATGTCCCACGGTTTATTGCCCGGCAAACGGGTTACATGTTGCAGCTTTTGAGTTCCTGCACAAACACATGTATTTATGCGGTTACGCAGACGAAATTCAGAGAGCAGCTTAGCAAAGTGATGGCTTTGCCATTGATTTTAATTTTACGATTATTTCATTAGCCATTTTCACAGCTTCACTTGCCTGTCCCGCCATCTTCAAGTATACATTTAGCTGAATGCCCAGGTTACTCTGTTCATCTCCACCCTTAAGATTGCTGTACCGAGCCGATTCCTCTCATTCTTTCTTCCAAATCTTCCATGTGGCACTTTTTCAAATGCCTTTTGAAGACCATATAAACAACATCAAATGCACTTCATTTATCCATCCGCTCCGCAACCTCAATGGAAAATTCTAACAGATTTGTTTTACAAGATAACAGGACATGTAGTTGCTGCTGAGATCAAACCCGCTATTTGCACAGGTCAGTCTCAGGACCGGGACGGTTTTCCCGATTAGAGACGGCGGCTGTGTCAGCCACACATCGGCCACGTCCACTGTAAATAATAAATCACCGAAGAAGAATTATTGTGAAATCTCCTGTCTCTGTGACATTCCAGACAGAATAACAGAGACAGGTGTAGTGATAGTCTCAGAATTGTAGAACATGCGGGAGAAAGCAGCCAGTCTTGGTGCCGTGCTATCCCAGTGACAAGCGTTCTAAGATACTGCTCCGGGTTAGCGGCGCTAAATCAAAGTAACTTGTTCTTGCACAGCTTTTACCAAGAAGAATCATGTGATTGGTAACTGAGGCCGGTTAATCCGGTTGGTTAGAGTGTGGTGCTAATAACGCCAAGGTCATGGGATCGATGGCCGTAGTGGCCACGATCTTTGGTTTAGCAGAATAGTGAACTCTAGGTTCGCTTGTGAATCGAACTTCATTTGAAATGTTTCAGAGCTGTAGTGAGGACCTCAGATATAATTTTATTATCACGTGACAAAATCTAAGGCAATCGTAAAACTGCAAACACATCGAGACTTTCCTTCTTTGTTAGTAAATCGAACTGAGTGAAGAACATTTTCTTCTAACAGTGACCATGGAAAGACTGATAGGCAAATCCAAGGTGACCTCGACTCCCAGTCTCAAATCAGCAGCCAATAAGCTGCTCCAACTTGGTCCTTGAAGAAAGAAGGCGATGTTGAGTATCACTGACATATAAAATTATTGATCATTCACCTGGACATAAATAAAATAATTGGAAATGAAGCCATGGCGCCGTGGCTAAGATGGCAAAGCGCCTGTCTAGTAAATAGGAGATCCTGGGTTCAAATCCCAGTGGTGCTTTTGATGCCTTTCATTCTGGAACATCATTCGGTTTTGGTTCTTGTTGCTTTGCGTTTCAATGTATAGTGAATTGGTACGGAAGCAATCGCCAAATTCTGTCGAGAAAACATACACGGGTGTGAGGAAAAATCCTCCATTCGGTCGCTTTTTTGGCAAGTCATACCTAAATAGATGTCCAAGAAAAACTTGAAGTGCAAACCAAGTTTATCTGTTTCTGTTAAACCGATGGGATGTTTTCGGGTTTTTAAATCCAAGCTCCGTGGGCTATTGGTGGAATTTAGCTGGGTTTTTGTGCAATTTTGGACGTGTGATGCACAAGCGACGTGCTCCCATGTGAAGACAATGTACCAATTAAAATTGTTCTTATGTCCTTAATAACCTTGTGAAACTAATGTTATTGTTGTTAGACTTTTTTTTGTTTGATAATTGATTAGCATCCGCTCCTGGTGAACGATGTTTTCGATTAATCTGTGTGAGAAAACAATAAACGGTTGAAAGTAACAAAACATTTACATCTATAAAGTGGCTTTCCCTTTAGGAGAACGTCACAAGACACTGGACACTGGACATTCAGTGATCCGCTCCTTAGCTTTTGGTTGGGAAGTGTTGCAGCGCGGGGAGGGCAGAAATATTTTTTTGTCTGAAGGGAAGAATGTTCAGACGGATCTTGAAGGCGGTACGGGAGAGGGCAACAGAGAGGGCCTGTGCAATCCAATTCTAGAAGATAGGGTCAGAGAGGATGAAGGCCGACCAATGGTGGGGCGGGCGAGTCAGTGCACGTGAAGGCTACCGCAATCCGCTGAGCAGAGAGAGAGGGGGCTGGTTGGGCTGTGATAATAGGTCACAGATATAGGGAGGTGGAAGTCTTTGGAGGGCATTGAAGGTGAGGAAAAGGATCTTCATCTGTCTCCTCTGACTGATCGGCAACCAGTGGAGCAAGGCGAAAATGGCGGTCATAGTATTGTGGAGCCTTGTGCAGGAGAGAATCCGGGCTGCAGATTTGTGGATGATCTGCTCCGAAATCTGCATGAGTCAAAACTAGGAAATGTGAACCCATTTTTTGGAGAGCATTCAATTGCAGATCAGGTTCAAATCCAGACTTTTTCTCAATGGATTCAATATTGCCAATAAAAATTCTCTGAATTTCCTTAATATTTTCAACTTCTGTCAGTTAGTAATAATCACTGCATTTGATACAGCAACTTTCATATAAACTGCTTCTATAGTGAGACGAAAAAGGAAGCTCCAAAGAAACGAGACAAATGTAACCACGTTTATTAAAATCTCATTATGTCCTGTGAATGGCTGCAAGCTAAGACAGCACTAGTCATATTCTAGTTAGCTGAGCTGTCAGGCCTTCAGGTTTGGGGGAATTGGTGATCCCCTCAACGTGGGGTGTTTCCTCTCCGCCCCTGGTATCGACTGGTACCAGTTACAGGATGACCTGCTCTGCCTGCTCCTTTCCTCTCTCTCGCTGTCGAAGGACTGACTTGCTGACTGTTGATCAAGAAGTCCTTCTTGTCACTAACATTCTGCCTTTCCAAATCTTCAGTATCTGTGGTTTCGGTCGGAGTGGTCAGGCCTTCGCACAGCTGACCACAGATCTCCTCCACAGTTCTCTGCCGGATCCCAGACAACTTCGCTCAGTTTCTCCAAACACTGACGCTGACATTCACGTCCCGCTCAGACCATTACCTTGCCTCAGATCTGCTCATTTTAACGCAATCCTTCATTCCGTCCATCGGTGCCATGACCCATTCGGTCTTTCCAACATCAGCTCCTTCCAATGGGATCTCTACTGGAGTTTTACTACGCGTTGCTTCTCCACCATGATTTCACAAGCAACGATTTTAGTCTGTTTCCTCTCAAGTGGCATTTTGTCACAGCCCATGTGGAAACACAAATGATTTACATCTATTACATTTCACTTGTTTGATTCTGAGCATCTCAAATAATTCGCTTCGTTTGGTCAGCATGTTATTTTTTGGAAAATCCAATAATGACTGCTGCTAACAATATTCTCCTTCCCCAGATACAAAAATAAAATTAAGCTGCAAGGGCAAGGCAGGGACAGTGGCAGATTGAAGCAATCACCAAAAACCAAACATAGCTTTCAATAATATAAATCTTGCGTAATAAGACTAAACCACTGGCGCTGCAACCGATGCGAACTCGCCGATTGCATTGGATATTTATGTGTCGATATCACCAAAACAATTTAATTCCTTCAAACTACAATCAGAGTGGGAAATATGGGCAACGCTTCAAATAAAATTTGGGCTCGTCCGGGATTTGAAACCGGGAGCTCTCGAATATTTATCCATTTGTTACCCGAAAGCAAGAATCATACCCCGAGACCAATGAGCCACTTTGTGCTCCAAACAACCGATATGTCAAAGAAGAACTTGGCAATATCAAACCGAATGGATCTCTGATGATTTGCTGCACATTTAAAAAAATTCATCTCGATCTTAAAGTCATTGGAAATAATAAATTGGGTTTGTGTGATTGAAAAGGAACCGAGCAGAAGAGACGCAACGTAACGTCACCCAAACGGCCAGTCTTAACAGGACATACGTAGACTGTCAGTTACAAGCAAACTGAACAAGAAAGCTGCCGTAATCCGGGATTGAACCCGGGACCTTTAAATCTTCAGTCTAACGCTCTCCCAACTGAGCTATTTTGGCGGTTGCAAAATTAAGTGTTTCCGCTTGTTTTAAAAACATGCACATATCTTGTTTTCCAATGAAACTCCTTCTAACGTCTGGTCGCTCATTTTTGGCTTTGTAGCCGATTTATGTTGACAAGAAAAAACAGAACTTTTTCTCAGGGATTTATCACACATGTTCGGGAGCTCCGAATGTTGTCCTTGAAGTGGATTTTGAACAATGCTACGGAATGACCAATACCACAAGGTTAGTTTGGATGTACTTTACATCTCTAAGCTCATGTTATGTTCCTTTACTCTGTTATATTTTAGTGAAGTTAACATTTGCTATAGTGTCACGGCACATCTTTGAGTCGTCTACAATTCCAGCCTCTCGTGTGAGAGAAGCTGACCACATCGTGGCGCAACGGTAGCGCGTCTGACTCCAGATCAGACGGCTACGTGTTCAAATCAAGTCGAGGTCAAAGTTTTCATTCACAGTCAATGTAATCTTGTTGTTGTTGTTGTAATGTCTTATGAAAAACAAACAATAAAAATAACGCACAACACGAATTATCAATAAGTTGTGTAAAATGTTTATCATCAACATATCCCACCTAATGTTAATTATATTAATAATTGTTAGCAGTAGTAATAAGTAAACAGTTAATTCACTTTACAATGTATTCTGTGAAGTGCTTTGAAACGTCGCGAAGTGGTGAGAAGGCAGTATATCAAACGCGAGGTTGACTGAAATTATTAATCAAATGAAAACAGCGGTGAGTTTCAAATAAAACAATTAAATATGTGTCAAACCGAAAAGCGATGGCGATTGCCGTGACTCTGATGTGACCCGAGTTTGTAGCGGCCACAAAACAATATATTAACCACTATACTATCACGGCTGTACATTTGCCTCCACATAAATAT